TCCCCGGTTCTGCCCCCCGGCCCTCCCCCCCCAAAAAAAGCTTGAATTCACTGGAAGTTCTGGCAGTTCTGAACTTAGACACTTAATACTGATCAAAAAATATATAAAGCAAATATGGATAAAACTATGAGGAAGATTGAGAAGATTACTGTACCTGCAGGAAATTTTATTCTCTCTCTTTCTGAAACCAGTCAAACAGACAAAAGTCAGTAAGGATGTAGATTTAAGGAAAATAATCAGCTTGATCCCATTAACATTTAAGGGACAATGTATCCAACTGTGTGAAAATCCATACCCCTTTTTTTGATCACACATTTGATCAAATTAATTTCGGCAAATTTTAAAACATTTGAATAATTCAAAACAACTTCTCTGATCATAACCCAATTAAGGTGGGAAAAAAGTTACTATATATACATGTGGGATTTTGAAAGTCTGTGTCTACAGACTTCTACTTCTGGTAGGAAGTAATAGTTCATAAGAGCTCAAGACACTCCCTGCAGCAACAGAGAAATGGGAAAAAGTTTTGAAATTCCAATTTTTCAAGGTTCATGTGCAGAGAATGCGAGCTCTGAAAGCACCGAGGACGAGGTGGACAGAGCTCTAGTATTTTTTTCCTGTCTGGTTAAGTTGGGTTCTCCATCAAACAGAGGCTGAACATGAGATGCGCGTTCGGAAATTTGTTTGTTTTGTGGAACCAGGAATTGAACTCAGGCCCTTGCGCTTCCCTCTTACTCCACTGAGCCATCTCCCCGCCCCCTATTCTGAGATTCATTGAGGAGTCTTCTCTGGGAACACCACCTGACAGGACCAAAAAAGTGGGATGCCCAGGAGACGCGGATGCTTAGAGAGAGTCGCGGCAGAGCTTCCGCCTCTCTCAGGGAGTCTGGAAGATGGGCTGACTGGAGAGGCTTGCGGTTTAGACGGTGAGGCTGGCTTTGGACTGCCGCATCAGTCACTGGTGGGCGCGGTGTGCGCGTGAGTGAAGCGCCTTCCCTGAGTCACGGCGGTTCGCAGAGAGGGACGTGGCTGTGACCCCGTGCCCATAACGGCGGGTGCGTGAGCGCTGCGCCCCCGGGAAAGAGCTGAGCGCTCCCGCCGCACGCAGCGCAGCGCGGGGCCTGCGGAGGAGCCAGCGAGCAAGCGGGCGGGCGAGCGCCTGGGGAGCTGGGAGGGAAAGGGAGCGGCCGGCCGCGGGACAGCTTCCTGGCGCTCTCTCTCTCTCTCTCTCTCTCTCTCTCTCTCTCTCTCTCTCTCGAATAAAAATTAAAAAAAAAAATAGAAATGGTAGAATTTCACAAACAAGATGATGAGAGTTCAACAATGGTTGTTACACTGCGTATTGTGGTCCTCAAATTAGTTGTTTAGATGACCAGATTAGGCGTGCAAAATTAGTCAAAAAATTAAAAAGAAGAAAAAACCTTAAGCATTAACTCTTCCCTTCAATAGACCAGTAGAAATCGACACTGCAATGATCAAGCTATTACATATATATATATGTATATGTTTATATATATGTATATATATATTTTAATTTTTTCATTTTAGGGAAGGGTCTACAGGGTGTTCAGGGTCTCACTACTAGATCCGACTCATAGTGATCCGCTTGTTTACAGCCTCCCAGAGCTGGGATTACAGGGGCTCACCACCACGCCCAGTCTCAATTACCGTCTCAACAGGCCCCGGGGGCGGGGCTGGCTCGCAGGCCCAGGGGTTGAACCCCTGGCCCTGTAATCCGCTGAGCTATTAGGCCGGCCCTTATTATTATTTTAATAGTCTTAGGACATAACATCCGCTAGACAAAGCTGTTTCAGTTTCTGCACACCCTCATCAACGCATAGCTTTTTAATGATAGTTTTCTGGTAAGTGTGACCTGGTATCCCATTATGATTTCAATTTTCATCAAAAGATGTTAAACCTATTTTCATATGTTTATTACCCATTCACATATTTTGTTCATTTAAGAAACTGGATTGGCCCTGAATTGTGGGGGTTCTCTCTCTGTATTGCACATGTGCCTTTATCAGTTATGTAATTTGCAAATATTTTCTCCCAGTGTGCTGCTCACTTTTTAAAATGGTATGCTTCAAAGTGAAAAGTTTTAGATTTTGATCAAGTATGATTTTTTTATTTTATGAATCATGCTTTTAAAGTAATATCTAAGAATTCTCCTCAAAATAAGTCATAAGCTTTTCCACTTTGTTTCAAGAAATCTATACTTTTTATTTTTTACATTTAGGCCCTATGATTTATTTTGAGTTAATTTTTGTGTATGGTATGAGATGTCTAAGTGATTTTTAAAATTTCATTTTGTCATTGAACTAAGAGAAAGTAGCTGTATATCTATTCTAACTATTTTTTTGTATATATATATATATACATATATGTGCATATTTTTTCACTACAAAATGGTGAAAAAATTTATATCCTTCATTTATATCCCCTTTTTGCTTAGTTTTGTCAGAGATGGGTATTCCACTGCCATTCAAATATTGTAGATGCATAAATTCAGCAAAATAATCCAATATAGTCCAGTAGTCCTTAATAGTAGTGGGTTATCTGCAGAACTGGCAATGTCAGAAGTTGTTGCCTTGAGCCTTTTACAGCTCAGCATATTAATATGGGTTTACTTTTTATACCTCGTGTTTATACTTTTCTGCTGGATGGTTAAGACCAAGATAAAGCAAGACCTATATAACAACAAATGTAACTTTTGTATCTGATAAGGTCAGTCAAGTCCCCTCAGGGTTTATCCTGTAGCCCTGTACCGCACTTTGTAGATTCTTTGTCAGTGTCAGCCATGAGGAGGAGTCACGGCCATTGCTTGACCAATTTGCTCTCTGTGAAAGCCTGAGAGAATGTTTTCTCTCCATGTGACTCTCCTTAGGCACACTCTACATCATTGATCACTTTCCTCTGTGGCTCCATAATGTCCTTGAAGAAAAATTTGTACTAATATAGTTTAGACAAGATATCATGTCTATATCTTGTACTATGAATAGCTACTATGAAGCAACAATATGCAATGTGTTAATTATTATAACTATCCTCCTAACCTGTTTTGAAACTATCTCGTTGCTATTTCTTTCTCAATAAAATTAATTTAAAAAATAGAACATATAAAAAGATTTTGTAATAGAAAAAAGTAAAAAATAAAATTTCATTTTGTGTTTTGCATATGAACATACAGTTTTTTCAGCATACCTTTTTTTTTAAAAAGACTATTCTTTCCTACATTAAATTATCTTAGAAGTTTTGATGAAAAATCAATTTATTATGAATATAGGGATTTTTTTGGTGAACTCTCAATTATGTTTTATTTATATGACCACAGTCTTGATAATTATAACAAATCAGGAAAGTTTTTCAAATTGAATAGTGCAACTTGCTCTTTTTGTTTAAAAGGGATGTTCTTATTTATTTGTATTTCTGTATACATTTTAAGATCAGTCCTTGGACAAAATAAAATAAAAACAATGAACAAATAATGACCCGCTGCAGGGGTATGGTGCATAATGAAGGACAACAGTGTGAATAGCTCCCTGGTATTGGATTCCAGCCTCACTGTTTTTTTTTCTCCTTCTATTTAGGACAAGGTCTACAGGGTCTCAGCACATAGATCAGACTTGTAGTGATCCTCCTGTTTTCAGTCTCCCAAGTGCTGGGATTACAGGTGCGCGCTGCCACGCCCAGTGTCAATCGCCCTCTCAACGAGCCCTGCAGGTGGGGCTGGCACAGCACACCAGGGATTGAACTCTGGCTTCTGCATTCTGCCTAAGCAGATGCTTTAGTCCCCTGAGCCATCTGGCCAGCCCTCCAGCTTCACTCTTAAAACCCTCCTCTCAAAAGCTTATGCATCTCTGTCAGTCCAAGCCTCACAGAGGGGAGATACTCTATCAGGATATTGTTGGCTGAGCACCAGATCAAAGAATAAGATGTTAGAAGATAAAAATCCAAGGAGGAGGTGAGTGAGGGCTCCGATATCTACTCTTCTAGAAGTCCGATAGTCCAATTGGCTTGTCGAGGTGATCAAGTATGGCTGACTCCTTGTGGGTAGGGGGATTGTGACACTGGTGGCAGCAACAATAGATCTCTAAAGGTGATTAATGAAAGAAATTAGACATTTGAAGCTGCCTTCCCTGCAGGCCTTAGCTCTTTTTTCATCCCTGTGCCTTGTGGTCTGTGCTTTGTTGAGCATGAGAGAAACAAATGCTGAACTTGGTCTAAGACGTGCTGGGTACCGACTGAGGTAACATCTGCTCGGGGCTGCTCAGTTGCTTTATAAAGTGTGTAGGGCAGAAGAGAATGTCTCTCAGATCCAGGAAAACAGAATGAGTCTTTCTTAGACCCTCCCTGTGGTTCTCTCCCTCACTGCTTCTCTTCCTCTTCACTCTTTGTCCTGCTGGACCTCCCCACCCATGTTTTTCTGGCTTTCCTTTCAGCAAGAAACAAAAAGAATGCTGTAGAGTGCTACAACCCACAGGGCAGTGACCATTCCTGGCTAGTGAGTGGCCTCCAGTCTACTCAGCCCTCACATTCCTCTGACTGGGATTGCATTCTGTCATGGGTGGGCCGTATTTTCTGGCTAGTGGCTGTGCCCACATTCCTTGTCTCTCCAGGACTTCCACCCATCTTTCACCCTTGGAGCCCAGGGTATACCGCTCCCCACGAGTCTTCTCATATCCTGGCAGGAATGATCTTCTCTCTTTGAGCAACCTTGACCTTTGCACATTTCTACCCTCCTCCCACATTCTTTATTTTATGGCAAAATGAATTATGTCCAATCTTGTTAGGAAGCCAGGCAGGATTCTGTATTTTCCACAAAGTCTAGACAATAGTTGGCAACCAATGGATGAAGAAGTGCTTGGGAAGGAATTCAGAAAAGAGACAGGAAAGTGATCTCCCAGGGTTTTCAGGACTAAGGATCTCATTCGCTGTATGCCTCAGCATCTCCCCGCACCCATAGTGCTCATGGGAAAGAAAACACAGGGACAACGACCACCATTTTGGAATCCATTTATATGGTAGGCATTATTCCGGGCTTTATCCGGCCCCACACAGCCCCTGAGACCACATCAGATTGTTTGAACATTCATGGCTTCCTTGGGCCAACTGTAGCTGTCCAGTGTGAAGGAGTCATAGTCTGGCGTGTAGACCAAGGATCGTACAAAAGCTTCCTTGTCCTTGGGCTCTGGGTAGTAGGAGGCCAGGTTGTGTTTGTACGCATAGTCAAGGACCTAAGAAAAAAAGTGTTTGGCTGAGGAACTGGACCTAAGGAAAATCCCACCTACAGGCCCTTGTATGGCTTGTGGGACAGAGGAAGAACCAGGCATATTCCTTTCATGAGCAGTGGACCCTGAAGCCATGGAGAGGAGGCTTAAGCCTTCCATCTGGACAGGCAGTTTTGATGTTATGGAATGAATATTGGGCCAGGGCCAAGAGGCCCAGCCTAAATTCTGGCTACTTCTAATTGCTTGTGGGTACCCTGCCATGACAACATGCTTGCTGAGCCTCAGTTTCCTCATCTGTAAAGGGAGGGTAATGATAACTTTCTCTGGTGTGGGAATAAACTTAGATAACAGGTAAAAATGGGCAATCTGTAATTTTGTTAGCCATCCCTGTAATCCCAGAACTAGGGAGGCTAAAGCAAGAGGGCTGCCATGAGTTTGAGGCCAGCCTGGACTACCCAGAAAGACCCTGTCACAAACCAACCAACCAACCAACCAACCAACCAACCAACCAACCAACCAACCAATCTAATTTTGTATTCCTTCCTGGGTGCAGGTTGAATTAGATGAGCATTGTTGGAACTGTTCTCTGGGCATTAGATTTGACTTTGGAGAACCTAAGCATAAATATGGCAAAAGAAGGAGGCTGGAGAGCTCAGAGCTGGCCTGTGAGCCAGGCTGCTGGAATTTAGGGCTGATTCTGGGTCATCTGCTGGACCTCTCATGGGGAGTGTGTGCTACTGTGCACTACTGCGCAATGCATTTATGAAGTTATTTAAAAGAAGATATTAGAGAAAAACATACGGGAATATGAATAATAGGATAATACGCCTTAGCTAACCATTATTCAACTTTAGCAGTTACAATTTGGGAGAGCAACATGCTCAGATTCTGTGAAAACCCATCATCTCTGCTCAGTCCCCTGAACACTCCTGAGGCCCAGCCATTCTGACAGAAAGGAGGACAGTGAGTGTCCACTCTGAATGGGCAGGCATTGGGTGTGGAGTTTTCTCACTGTTCTTTTAAAGCCATTTCCAGGACTCTGGGAGACTGGGAACTGGCCCATTTGGAAAAGAGGAAACTGAGGCTCGGGAACATGGTTAGTACAGGGCCAGTCCTCAACTTACCAGCAGAGCTGGGACTTCAAAGCCTGAGCTATATGCACAGTGCAATGCAATCTAACATTTCTTAATAGTGGATGGTAAGATTCATTAAAAATCCCTCCTGTATTCTAATCTAGGACACTATAGCTTTGGTGACCTTTCTGCTTTCTGCTTGAGAGTAAATCAGGAGCTCTCTTAGCACTGGCTGGGACTTGGGGGCTCAGGCTGTAGGCTGGAGTTTATCACTCAACCTCTATCATCCCCTTATCCCTCAAAAGATAGAGAACAATAGTTGAGCCCCACTACCCATCTATAGGGTAGGATGCCTCTTACTTTGATGGCGATTCTCAGAGACACATCCTGGATGGTGCTGAGAGGTGGGTACAGTCTCCCCTGAGACAGATGCAGCTCAGAGACCTCCTGGGCAATTTGCTAGAGAAAGGGAGAGAACCAAGAAGAACACACTAAGTTTCTGACTTTCCAGAACTAAGCCAAGCTACTACCCTGGAGCCTTGTCCAGTTCTGCCCAGGTGGTCAAATGCTGGAGTTTTTATTTTTGTCTTTTCTTGAGAAAGGGTTTTGCTGTGCAGTTCTGGCTGGCCTTGAACTCACTTGGTAGCCCAGGCTGGTCTTGAACTCACGGTCATCCTCCTGAATCCGGTTCCTGAGTTTTGGGATTGTAAGGCATATGCTACCACACCCAGCTGGGATCTGCATTCCTTACTTCCTGGGTCCCGGTCTCCTCCCCATGCTTGGTCCTGTCTTGGGTGCTCATCCAAACAGTATTATTTCTTTGTTCAGGGCTCCCTGAGCTCTTCCTTCTTGCCATGGGCCCACACTGAGGAAGGCCTATCCTCCCGCAAACAGAGGACACAATAGTATTCCACCGGCCTTCTCTCCTGTCTCCGTGTTGGTGCACGGCCAGCCCTGCAGATCAGCCTCTCAGAGGCGGAGGCTCTCAGTCTGTCCCCACCTGATCGTCTAGTGTCCAGATTAAAATGGAGAGAAGCCATTGCTGCTCTCTGAGGGCTCCTTGCCCCAGAAGTGGCAGGGCGAGTGGAGCTGTCTCCACTCCAAGTTTGCAGCTGTTAGGCGAGTAGGCCTCCCCTGCTCGGCCTCCGCACACCCTCACCCCTCTTTATTCAGTCAAACATTCACGGAACTGGACAATGTGCTGGGCTTTGTGCTGTGCACAGCACCGGGGATCCGCGCTGGAAAGTCTTGGTTCTGTCCACCTTCGAGGCTGCTGCCAGGGCACATGAACAATTACGACACTTATTGTGGGGGAAGACAGTGGAAGGGGCTCGGGCAGGCATGGTGAGCTTTCCGGAGCTTTCAGCGGTACAAGTAGTCCGCTGCTGCATGCATGCCACAGGCTCCTCACCACTGGGCCAGGGAACAGAGCAAGGCAGGCCTCATCTGCCAAGTGAGGAAAAGCTTACAGAAGAGGTGTCCTAAGCAGACAGCCAATGGACAGAAGAGGTGTCCTACGCAGACAGCCAATGGACAGAAGAGGTGTCCTACGCAGACAGCCAGTGGACAGAAGAGGTGTCCTAAGCAGACAGCCAGTGGACAGAAGAGGTGTCCTAAGCAGACAGCCAGTGGACAGAAGAGGTGTCCTAAGCAGACAGCCAATGGACAGAAGAGGTGTCCTAAGCAGACAGCCAATGGACAGAAGAGGTGTCCTATGTAGACAGCCAATGGACAGAAGAGGTGTCCTACGCAGACAGCCAATGGACAGAGTATGAATTACTTAAAAAGGGGAATGCATGAAATTATGAATTACACACAAATGCTGTGAGGTGAGAAAAAGCATGGGTGTGATGTTGAAGACAGTATTGGGTATAGCGATGGTAGGGAGCGGCTAAAAGTGAGGTGGGGAGAGAAGGAGGGCCTGCCGTACACTGCCTTCCACTGGAACTATGGGAAGAAGTTTGCGTGTTATCTTATGAACTCCAGGAGCCACGGAAAGATCTGGAACTAGGATAGACTTGACCTGATCAGTGTTTTGAAGGATTCTCTTTGTGGAGGTATAGAAGATAGATGGATTAGAGAGAAGTGGGATTTCCGTGGCTAGCCCTGCTTCTAGAAAGCTTATCCTGTGACGAGGAAGATCGTGGCATGTGAGGCCACTTTGAGCGGCGGGCACTGGCTCCTGCTCAGTGTGGAGACAGGTTGCTTGGGGCCTGCTGGTGCCGCGGCTCACTTCCTGGAGATCTTGGGCAAGTTCTTGGGCAACTGTTTCACTTTCCTGGTCTATAACACAGAGATAAAAGCTATAGCTACATTACATGGTTGTTACGGTAGAATAAGGCAGTGCATGTCAGTTTCATAAAACCTGTATTAATTTTCCATAACAGTTTAAGCTCAATTTAAAATGTCTCAACTAAAAGCACATTTTCAGAAATAAAATTTGTCAGATCTTTGAAGGTCAGACTTTCAGCTTCTAAAAGGGAAGGGCCTTATCCTGCTGATAGCATGTATGTAATAAGCAGGTTGAGAAGAGGTGGCTGTGCTACTGATGGGCACTGGGCATGAAGTGATGGAGCCAAAGTGTCCCGCAGCACCCAGACTGAGTGTTATGTGGTCACATGGAAGGGTTCAACCAACCTTGCCTTTGTGCAACAAGGAAATTTGCCTCTGGGTAGACTCAGAGCAAGAAGTGACTCTTCCCACCCATGGGAGTTTCAAGCAGCTCTGTCCAAAGCCATAGGACATGAACCTGCCCTGTAACAAGGGGAGGACACAGTACAGAATGCTCAGATTACAGGGACAGAGGGCTACGACACAAAGCTGTAGCTGGTATGCACAGGTCAGGGCGTGGCCTGAAAGATTTAGGAGACACTATTTCCATGGCCTTGTGGAGCCAACACTCAAAGATCAGACAGAAGAAGGGCCCTAGGGCACGGGACAATTCCTAATCTGTAGCAGGGTGGGACAGGCCTGTGTGGAAGCTGCTCCCAAGGCTTGTTTTGGTGGCTACTCACCAGAGCTGTGGTGAGAAGGAAATCTAGGAAGAATTTAGGAGCCATGGGGCCATGAATGGAACTAGTCAGGCATAGATGTACTTAGTATGTGTATATAACTTTCATAAGTCTAACCTCTGAAAAGACACAATATTATGTCTTGGGCTCTTCAAAGTGAGAATAAATGTCACATGCCTAGCACTTAGTAAACAATAAAGTCATCACTGTTGTAATCAGAATTAATAACTAGGATTGTGAGTGTGAGCTATCAGTCTTGATAAGTTTTTTTTTTTTTTTTTTTCATGGAATGAACCTTTCTTCCAGTAAAGAATTCTCCTAGGAGCTTTTCTAGTCTGACACGTGGAACGACTATATCCCCACCACCCCCCGAATGGTGCTTGCAGTGGGAAAGTGGGCATTGTCCTCACTTGCTCCTTTGCAGCAGGTACCTTGATGAAGTGGCCAGTTTCCCCTCTGATCTGACCACGGTGTGTTTGATGGTATCTGTGGCTTTTATCTCCAAAGGTGGCTTTGATAGTATCTGTGTCCAGGTCTGTAGGTGGCACTGCTAGGAGGCAGCGAGGGCTTCTGGATATGCCCTTCATGCCAGTGCCTTCTGCTAACACTGCCTCCCCTTAACTGCTTCTCACTTCCCCACCCCTGAAACTCTGGGCATTATTAGAGAGCAAGTCAAGGCCCAAGACGATCTTGAAAGATGCCTGAGGTTCAAGCTCATTGCCAGGTCTAGGAGCAGGTAGGAGGATAGAAGAAGCGAGAGATTTTGGGCCTAGCGCAGACTTGATATTGACCCAGAGGCCCTACTGGAAGCGTTCAGGAAACAATGACCATGATACCTCTGCTGTCAGGAGGAAGATCTCATCTGGGATGTGCCGGACTCCCCCAGCGATGACGCCCAGTGCTACTCCGGGGAATACGTAGGCATTGTTGCCCTGCCCGGGAATAAATGTCTTTCCATCTTCCAGAGTCACGCTCTTGAAAGGACTTCCGCTGGCAAAGATCCCTCGACCCTGCAGGCAGGAAGAAAACCATGGACGGAGATGGCTTGGGTGGCTGTCTCGTCTCCCAAGTGTTGTAGCCTCCTTTATCCTCTCCCGAATGCCCGGGACTGTGCTGGAGTGTGGCCAGCACTCAAGTGTATTTGTTTATTTTACCCAAAAGGTCACCATCAGCCCCCCTCTACAAAGGCTCCTGGCCCCCCCCCATTACCTGAGAGCCAACAAGCCACTGAAAGGTGGTGGAGGTCATAGTCTCTTTTTACACCTGTCACCTAGAAGGCTGTCCAGGATACAGCATATATCAAGTGGCCTCGAGTCTTTTTCTTTTTTTTTTAAATGTATTTTTTGTACAGGGTCTTACTATGCAGCTCGGACTTGTAGTGATTCTCTTGTTGTCATTATTTATTTATCTTTTTTTTGGAGGGGTACCAGGGATTGAACTCAGGACCTTGCACTTGCCAGGCAGGCACTTATTCTACTAAGCTATCTCCCTGGCCCTAATTCTCCTGTTTTCAACCTCACCTGCACTGGGATTATAGGTGTGCACCACCATGCCCAGACTCGGTGGCTGGCTCAGTAAGCAGGACCGGAGATTGAACCCTAGTCCCTGTGTTTGCCAAAGCAGGCGCTTAGTCCACTGAGTTATCTCTCTAGCCCCCTCATCTTTAAGAGTCAAAGATTTATGTTATGTAAGGGAAACCCTCAGCAGAATAGCATCATGGTGAGGCTTTGTGTTCTGGAGTGGGACATGGGTTCAAGGCCAGCTCTCTTCTGTATCACCTCTGTAAACTTAGGCAAGTTACATCAGCTCTCTGAACTCAGTTTGTTCATGATGATAGGAAGTTTTTCACCTGATGATTACTCATAGTTATTTTTACCACATCCTCTCAGCTGGGGGAAGGGAGAACTCCCTGCTGACCTCTGTGACCTGGTAGCACCTCTCAGCTGTGCACTCGGCCTTGCTGGTGGGGTTGCTCAGGGCAAAGATGATAGGGCGCTCGTGGAAGGAGGCCATGTCCCTCAGAATCTGCTCCGTGAAGGCTCCTGCGATGGCGGCGACACCTACAGGGAGAAGGTGGGGGTAGCGGGGGTACCTACTCTTTATAAACAACCCATTCTTCCTCCAGGCAAGCTGACTGCACCACAAAAGACACAGGAGTCTGGAGGATTGTGTCTGTCACAGGGACAAAGGCAGCAGAAAGGAGAGGGGTCTTTCAGCTGGAGCTTCTTGAGACCTCCTGTTCATCCCTAAGGGTCACTGGTCTGCATCTCCCTGCCTGTTAGATGCACCATGAAGACATTCCTGGGCATTGCTAATGACAATGGACCTCTCCTCTGTCACTGGGAAAGATGGGCTCCTGGCTTGGAGGGAGAAGGCCTCACCTCATCTTGTCTTGGTTAGAGACCAGTCCTGTGCTGCCTACTGCATTCCTAGCCTCAACACTAGTGCCTTATTTATTTCTGTTTTTTATATAGTAACCACTTAGCAAAAGTGGCATTAAATTAGATATGGGGTAGGGGGTAGAGCTGCGCTCCCCTGAGCTCCTTATGTCTCCCGATTCAGCCCGAGTCCCTCCATCTGTAAATCAAGAGTTAACTGGGAAGTGGCTGCTCTTCCTCCTCCTACCTATGATGGCGGTGGGCTTCACTAGCCTCACCACCTCCTCCAGAGAGCTCACTTCAGGGTGGTCTTGGGCAAACATCTCCTTTTCTTGGTTGAGGTGGCTCCTTCCCTGGAAGAAAAGAAAGCTCGTGAAGCAGTGGAGCCAGCTCGTGTTGGACAGGGACCCGGATGTGTTGGAAACGTCTGAGAGCAGTGCTTGCTCAGCCTCATAGTTTGGTGTGGGCTTTCAGAATCTTTGAGGCCTATCTTCTTGAGCAGGTTTCTTAGTAGAGCCTGAGGTGAAATGTCAGTGTGTGTGTGTGTGTGTGTGTGTGTGTGCATGCGTGTGTGTGTGTGTGTGTGTGTGTGTGTGTGTTCTTTGTAACCCAAACCACACAGGAAAAAATCCATTAAGCATTTCTCTGAGCTGAGTGGGCCACAGCTTCCCGGCAAGGATGGAAATGCTCTCAGGAAGCACCTGAGTCTGACTGAAGCCTCTGCTTCCAAGGCATCCCGCCTCAGCTCCCGCTGAGGGATGGAGCTTGGGTCATCTAGGGGTAAGATACCGCGAATGCAATTTACCAGGACCTGTGAGTGATAGTAAACTGAGCTTCAGGATAGAAGCCAGAGGTGCCAGGCCAGCTTCAGGTTCCTTCTGTTTCTTCCAATAGACTTCTGTGGGTGACAGGAGGAAGGAGTGCTGGTAAAGGACCCTAACCATTCCTTTGGACCAACTGGTCTCATGAGAACCAACAGAAGGATGTTAGCTTTGACATCCCTTGGGTAGGGATGAGTTCCACAGGGCCAGCAAAGTGACATGACAAATGAGCAGGAAGGAAGGGTGGCAGGCATCGGCAGCTTGTACTTCTGGCTGGATTGTGCTGTGGAGTGACATGAGGGTAAGGAAGAGGAATCACTGGGCCTATGTTCCTACCTCAGTGATCTGGATTTACATGGATCGACGGCAAGGCCAGTTTCTCTGAGGGTATCTGTATTCTTGACCAGTCACCCCATTCTCGGCTCTGTTGTCTGCCATTTCTCACTGACATTCCATGTTTATGGAATTCTGGGAATTAAAGGGTGAATCTCTGAATGAAGCCCCGAGAGAAGGCCATGCGTTGTATCCCTCATGTTCTAGTCAGAATCTGAGTTGTTTCTCCCTCATTCATTCCTTCACTCCTTTATTAATTACATATTCACCACCTGCCAGGCATCAAGACTAGATAGTCTAGCGAGGAAATGGACAAGTGAAAGCTCACCTGTTCTGCAAAGCTGGAGGTGCAGATGGGGCGGGGTGAGGCCCACAGGAATACGGATGAGGCCTGCAGTGACACCTATGTGCTCTGAGAAAATACCTGGGGGGAGTACTATTTGAGCTCAGTTGGACATAAGGAGGAAGCAGGGATGGGGTTAAAGGTTGAGAAGAGGACAAGAGCATTGCAGGCAGAAGAACAAAGGGTGCGAAGGCGCACACAGAAAGAACATGTGGCTTTGGGGAACTTTGATTCCATATGGCTGGAGGTTCGGGCCAGAGGTGATGGGAAATAAGGCTGGAAGGGGCGCACACACATATGCAGAACATTTGGATAAAAGCAATTAAAGCTACTTCAGGAGGAATCTTTTGCTTTGGACTTTAGGCCATTACCGCGAACATTCTCCTTTTTTCTATCTAAGCACTTTGCCCCTTAGAGAGCTCTTTCAGTCTAGTTCCTGGTAGCTGTAGGTGTCAGGAAACCGTGAGGACTTCAGAATGACAGTACCTTGACGATTAGCCCCTTGGAATCCACCATCCAGATTTTCTTCGTGGCCTCTGCCTTGGGCACGCCTTCTTTCTCTAGGGCCATGACAAGGAGATGGGCGATGCCCATGGCTGCCTGAGGAGTGTGATGAAGAGAGGCTTAGACACAGGGCAGGTGTCAGAGTCCTCCGCCAAATGAGCCCTTGCTCCTTCCCCCACTGTCACCGTTCCCAGGAGGCCCAGTTAAGTCCTTGCCTTGAGAGACTCAAATGTTGAGGTTCGGGAACCTCGAGCGCAGCTTCCCCTTCTCAGAAGTCCCAAAGGCTTCCCTTTCAGATACTTCCCTGTGCAGGGCAATGAGCCCTAATGGCACTTACCTCCCCTGCGCCTTGGAAAACAAACACGTGACTGGAAAGCTTGTTCTTGGTGATTCGCAGAGCGGCAAGGATCCCTGCCACAGCAACAGAGGCTGTGCCTGCAACAGAGCGAACCATGATCGGTGTCTGGCTGGCCACCAGCCCCCACCCCCGAGGAGACCGTTGGCGAGTGTCCCTGACCCGGGACCTGTGGAGGAAGAGGCAGATTTGCTCAGCTGTTATGAAGGTTCAGCCTGGAGGCATCCAGGGTAGAGCAAGTCATACCCTCCTTTGTAGCTAACAGTCCACTGCTGAGGACCAGATCTTGTTGTTTTTGGGGGAGAGGACCAGAAGTCCAGAGGCTGCTGCTGTCATCACTCATAAATGAGATGACAAAACTAGCATAATGTAATAGGATCCGGAAAGAAGTGTGAGACCTATAAAGTGATTTCTTTCGAGGTAAATGGATAAAGACATATTTAAAAATGAGTGCATACCCTTGCCGTGAGACCTTTGGCAACCGTGTGTCCTGAGCCACTCGTGTGATAAGGTCAGGTGTATGTGACAGTACAAACCAACATCGAATGGCTTGCATGTGTGCAGGAGAGGCATGAGCACATCACTGGTAGACAGTATAAACTTGTGTGAGCCCCAGTATGTGGCTTTGTCCTCCTCAGCCCACATCTAAGGCTCAGTGAGAACTCTGTAGACAAGCTGACCAAGGAGAAAACCGTGGGCTTGGCTCACAGGATGGCTCAAATGATATGCTCCTATCAGCGAAAAGCATAGGGTGGCAACTTCATAGCTCCAACAGCAGGTAGCTCTAAAGGACAATGATGAAGGCCTGTGGACAGGGCCTCGGCGGGAGGTTCTGGTGTTTGCTTTGCAATGTCCAGGTGGACACTGATTCACATCAGTGGTTTAGCTGAATGACCAGGAAGTGGAAGGAGCAAATGTCTAAGAACGGTGATGAGGAGGCAAAAGGGGTGATGTGTGGAGGAGCCTCTTGGAATCGATGTAGAGTGTGAAGATGTTTGTGCCCCACAAGAAAGCTCACCAGAGGACAGAATGAGAGCGGCGCATCAATCACCAAGTGGATAAAACGCTTGTTAGACAGTCAGCTCATTGTCAGATGCTTGGGGTTTGCCTCATGGCGTTCTCTACAGAGTAGCCATGTTGGAAAGGGTAGAGGTTGTGCCCGACCCCTCACAGTGGTGACCTGCTCCTGATACTGCCGGGTAACTAATGCTGAGCTTCTGACGTGGAACCGTTGGCTGGAGGGAGCACTGGCTGGAGGGACTGTCTGCTTTGTGGCAGGTCATTAACCTTCTATCTTAGACAAGAAAGAGAACTGTCTTCACTTGGAATAGATACTCTGGACATGGAGTTCTCTCCTTGTTCATAACGCTTCTGCCGACGGCATCCTCTGCGGGTGTTTGGAATTCCTGCTCACTATTTTGCTATATTACAGACAACAAGCCTTCTAATCAAGGAACTTATTTCACAGTAGAAGAAGCGCAGCAAAATGCTTGTGACCCACAATTCACTGGTCTTCACTGTGTGCAGCTGGCCTGATAGATCAGTAGAATGGCCAGCTGGCTTAGGAGGGGGAAGAACCACTTGAGTTGAGGCAACACCCGTGCAGACAATTCTTGTAAGATGTACCATGGGATGGGAGTTAGCAAGCAATGTGTTATATCCCTTTTCCCATGGCCAGAACATATGGGTCTGACCTGGGAGTGTTTTTCTCATCTATTAATTTAAGAATCCACTTGCAGTCTTTCCACTTCCTGAATCTTCAACTTTGTGCCATTCAGGATTAGAAGTTTTAGTTCCCAAGAGAGAAATTCTTCCATTTAGATTCATAATTGCTTCTCATGAACTGGAAGCTGAGACTGCCACTTGGCCTTTTGGGACTGCTCATGCCACTAAACCACTAGGCAAAGAGGAGGACTGCTATTACGGTCACTGTGAGTGGTCTGCAGGACCAAGTGGAGATTGAGGACAGGAAGGAGTGTCTCTGAGCATACGGGGATTCTCTGGTGTGTGTCTTAGTACTTCTATTCTCAATAGTAAACACTAGTGAACGTTAATGCAACTACAGAGCGTTGGGACAACTGAACATTCAGAACCTTCAGGCATTAAAGTCTGAGGACAAGAAAACATGGGCTAGGGCGTTAAAGGAGAAATTTATAGTTATTGGCTATGCTTTTATGACTGCCTAAGGACACGAGCACTGTAGTCACCATCATATCTCTTCCTTGATCATTATATGATCACGTAGACCGGTATACGGCAGTTGGTTGTTTTCTCTCCTTTCCTTCCCTTTTTATTTTAGGTAAGTTTGTTGGAAGTTAATTCTACCCTTCAGTCTTTGAGTCACAAAATTTTTAGATGTAGCCATAATTTAATTTTAACAGTTACTGGGCCGGCCTGATAGCTCGGCAGACTAAAGTGCCGGCTTAGGCAGGGCGCAGGGGCCGGGGTTTGATCCCCGGCGTGGCGTGCCGGGCGGCCCTGCTCGCTGGGCGTGCTGAGCCTGCGACTGAGACCGGGCGCAGTGGCCCGCGCCTATGATCTCAGCACTTGGGAGGCTGAAAACAGGAAGATCACTACGAGTCCGACCTAGGTAGTGAGACTCTGTAGACCCCATAGACCCTGTCCTAATTACCGAAAAAAAAGTTATTATTCCTGCTCAGCGGTGAATAGTGTGATTATCTTCCAGAAATGAATAAGATGACTGTTGGAGCTTTGGCTCTCCCTGTTTTGGGGAGAAAGTGAGAACACATGTTTTTGTGGCCTGGAAGTAGGATGAGACACAGGGACGCTAAACAGTCGAAAGGGCGAGCTGGGTGTAATTACCCAGCGCCGGCGGGGTGGTGGTTTCCTAACAGCAAATTCACACGTCTTTACTCTGCTGGACTTTGCCACCTGGCTCGATATTGGGCTCCTGCAGTAGGGGGCATTCCAGGGAACGCGGATGTCTAGAGGAGGGGCGAGGAATTTCTTTTTCCAAATCACCTTAATCTTCTAGCATTGCCAGATAAAATGCATGACGTTTAGTGAAACCAGATTTCTAGGTAAACAGCGAGTAACTTCGAAAGAATTCTGCATGTTATACAGTATTAGCATAAGGACTGTAAAATAGTGACTTATTTAATATTGACACTCAACAGAGTGTACTGAGCTTTGCTTTGGCTAAATCGGGTGATCCCACAGCCCTGGACTTTCGCAGCAGTGCCATGGAGTTGACAGTTTTCCCATTACTTGGAGATCTGCTTGCTGGTGTACACTCCAGAGCGCAGGACCTGCGCGCAGCCGCCCTCCCTCTCCCTTCCGCCCCGCCTCAGGGTTAGCAGCAGATTCTCTTGCATGTTCTTTTTTTTTTTCTTCCTGATTTTCAATTCTTTAATACACAATGTAAAATTTTTAATATTAGTTTTCACCATCCACCCAGATCACACAGATCCAGCCTGGTACAGAGCATCCTAAACAAAAACATAACCATGTTTGGCAACGTTAAGACTCTGGGACGGCTGAAGAAAAGGAAACGAAAGTGAGAATACTTACGGATTGTCCATTTGTCTGAGTTAAATGATGTGATCGAAGGTTAGTAAGAGAGTGGTGAAAATAAAAACTTCTAGCACATTTTGCATTTTAAAGCCCTACAATTTTTAAAAAACTCTTTTCTAATACAGACCAAGGGAATAAATGTTTCTGCTCATAAATGTTGAGCTCATATTTCTACTTCTGTAAATCTATAGAAAACCCAGAAATATATATAGTAGGACATGTATGATAGTGTTATTTGTAATGTAGATAACTGGAACTAACCTAAACAGCTAACTAAAGAATAAGTATAAATACTCAGTAGAACTTTCCTTTCCTTTCCTTCTTTTCTCTCTCTCTCTCTCTCTCTCTCTCTCTCTCTCTCTCTCTCTCTCCCTCCCTCCCTCCCTCCCTCCCTCCCTTCCTTCTCCTTCCTTCCTTCCTCCCTCCCTTCCTTCCTTCCTTCCTTTCTTCCAAATCTGGCCCCAAGACCTGTGCTCTTAACCACTAACCTTTGCTTCACTGAGTTTGTTGGAAAGAAGAGAATTTTAAACAGTACCATATATATATATATATACACTAGAATTTTAATTATAGTGAAACACAGAATCCAGAAAGAACTACAAAGAGCTAATGGCTACAGGGTGGAGTTGTGAGTGAATTTTCTGTGTTGTTTGCAGTCTGTGGGTGGCTTGCTTTTGCTGCTCCAGGGTGGGGCCTTCTTTCGGGCTGTGGGCTGGATTTGTGCCTGTGTGAAGGCTCTGTGGTGGATTGAGATAAGGAGCCCAGTGTTCATTCGAAGCTAATGAGTACCTGTCCCCTGCAGTCCACAGCTGGTGGCAGCGCTCTACACAGAGCATACTGCCTAGCACATGGGGTGCAGGCTCTCCTGTCTTCACAGAGCTGTGGCCTGGAGGGACTGCTCTAGGGGCAGGGGGGCCCAGAGGTAGGTCTGAGAATCACTGGAACTTTCCCTGTGGGTGGCTTGCTTTCGCCGAACACTTTTCCCCAAAGTATTCAGTGTACATTTACTGAAGACCTACCAGGTGACAGGACACGGGAGGCACTGAGAAACACAGAGATGGATCTAAGACAGTCCCTGCCATCAGGAACACCCTGTTTACAAAGGCTTGGGAAGGGCTGGGGAGTTAGGTTAGTGGTCGAAGCACCTGCCTGGCAAGCACAAGGACCTAGGGTCGAGCCCCAGTGCCACACGTTGTGCTGGCATGGTGGCCCATGCCTGTAATCCTGGGGAGGCTGAGACAGGAAGATCACTATGAGTGCAAACTGTGTAGCAAGACCTTGTACCAAATAAATAAATGATTTTTAAATTTTTTTTTTTAAAGAGGCTTGAGAACAAATAACTATGACCACTGGTAGTCTGAGATCCTTGGAGATTGTTGCATTCATTTATTTATTAAATATAAATTACAAACCAGACTCTGGATCCTGAGGGTACCATAGGTAATTAAATAGATGAGGTTCATTTATGTTTGGAAAGAAAAACGTCATTAAATAATTGTAGATGTGATGATTATTGGGGAAAAATTTATTTATTTATTTATTTTTT